ATTTTCAAAATGAGTGGAAACTTTTTGTTTATTGCAGCAGTGAAACGAAGGACGGGATAATACTCACGACACCGTCTACGCATTTACGTTATTAGAATTTCAAAAATTCAACTTCTTTTTTTACTGATTAAAGAAAATCATCATCACACCTATTTATTTCTTGGTTTGTAAGATGAAAGACCTCACAAAATAATTGCGCCTTTTTAAAATGACAAATATCTGTTTTCACTGATATCGAATTTCTGTCGTTCTATTTCAGGATTAATTACAGAATCCAATTTGCAAGTGATCCATCAGAGATATCAGGCAGTTCTGGATATTATGGTCAAGAAACACAAGCCATGGTGCGATTTGGCATCCCTCGCAACACTTTAAGGGATTATATTGGCATTTGCGAATTACGCATAATAGATAGCAAGAGATACAAAAGAGTGGTCGAGGCAGACCGGCAAAGATTGGGAAAGGTCTCCGTTAAATCTACTGAGTTGCGCCGTAGGGCGGTTCCAAACGAATACAGAGTTCATTCAAATAGATTAAAAGAAGAAAAGAAGCTCCTTCCTTTTTATCCGAAGGAAGGCTTTTACAACCAAAAGTAAGTTTGAGTAGAAATTTATATGTATTGGGTGTAAGATTCGCGAGGTTATTTACTGAAGGCGCGCTTTTGATTGGCTCTAATTTATAGGGGGACCAACGCGCCGAGATTAAAATTAACGAAGAAATGACGCCGGATTCTTTTACCCTAATATCACGTGTTCTGTAGTTAGCAATTCAATTTTCATCCGAGGGAAAATGTGATAAGGCGCCAGCTTTGTGTGTTCCGGGCGTTTCTGTAGTTTCTTGTTTTAGCTCACGTTCTTTAATCGCGAATGTTATCAGTTGGGTTTAGACGCCACCTATGATTGCCAAACTAACAGAATGACATGAGGTAACAATTGCACAGTCTTTGATAATAGATATATATCGGATGGCTAGGGGTGGACTACATGAATAAAGGGAGGGAGGGGTAAACGATTTAAACAATTTTAGTACACTAAAGTTCTCTCGAATGTTTTTAAGTATTTAGGCATTACAGTTTACTCTTTGGATGGTTAAAGATACTCAAGTATATCCCAGCTATGTTCCAGTCTGCTCTTAAGATTATTTTTTGGATAGCTTAGCCTTGGGCTGATATGTTTTCTGCCTTAATTTGTAATGTTCCACTCCGTCCTGAATACACGAAATATCTACACAATTTTTTTTCAAGCTGAAAAACGGTTTGCTAGTGTTTCTTGTAGTGCCACCATAATGAGTAACCAGTTCAAAGACGTTAAAAGTTAATACGAACTTAACAATTGGTTAGTATACTTTACTTACATGGTGACTTATACAATACTATGCCTCGCTTCGCTTTAAACCGTTTTAGAATGTTCTGAAAATATACTGTATTCTTAATAAATGATATGCGATGTTAATTTCAATTTCAAACAATCATGTCATAAGCTTAATTTAAATACTAAATACAATAACGAACATTTTTTATCAACTGCTATGGAGGGTAATTAGGTTAATTTAGGGCCTGTGTATATAATACAGGAAGAAGGATCACCCTTGCCGTCCCTGCTTGAGTTTGAAATATATACAGAAACGCTTAGAGACCAGAGTGAAAACTCGGAGGAGAATTTCCCTCCTCATCATGTTATGAATTTCCCGTTAGGACAATGCTTTCTCGAAAATTCTTGAACTGAAAGCAAGCCCAGTAGAAAGAAGCAACTGCAACCAAAAGACAAGAACAGGAGAAAAAGGAAAAGCAAAAAAAGAAAAGCCGTAAAAAATTCTTAAAAAGTTGGTTTAGACTTTAGTGAATGCCCGTGGAAAAATCATTTTCAGCCGTACACTTTATCGTTCACACGAATCGCTTGTCCAACACGCGTCGAGTAATTCTGCCATTGGTTCTGAAATTTCATTTGTGTGACCATGCACCACATCCGGTCTATTGTTATGTTCAAAATGCGCCTTTCCTGTTCATGTTTTCTGCACAATTTATGTTTTGTTTTTTCATATCAAACAGGTTGTAATCTATTACGTCCTCGTATTTTCAAGAGCCTTTTCTTTTCTTTTCTAGCTTTTTTTCCTTTCCTTTTTTTTTCTATTGATTTGTTGTTAACATACTTCCTTGGTTCTGGGGAATTGAGCGTTAAATCGGTTCTGCAGCTTATACTGTAATTTTTCTAGTTTATATTCCTTTATTGCATGTAAAACGTTAATTTATTTTGTATCATTTTTCTTGGTAACATCTGTTAGTTGTTCCCGTTTGTTTTATACCATTCTATTTTACTTCCGTTTACTCTATTTTGGTTTTCTGTCTGATGTAGTTTGCCTGCTGTATTGCTGTTGGTTCGCATTTACAATAAATTGCTTTGGAAATCCTTGAATCCTCCTCGTTCCTACTCGCTCGACTGCCGCATCCTGTGTCATTAATTTCGAGTGTTCTCTCAACTTCCCAAGTGGGTTATCATTCCGGTAAACCAATAGAAAGTGCGGTCTGTTGCTTTTACCAAAAATACTGTATCTCTATGATGACAGTTGATCCAAAAAGAGTTGTCAAATCTACATAGTGTCTTCAAAGCGTTTTGTGAGTTTTTTTATGTCTTTGCAAAGAATAACCTTAATTTTCGACTGTGAAGCCATGTTCAGTCAAGCAAATTATTATGAGTACTGCTGGTAGACAACAGAGTTAGAAATTGCAAAGTCGATCATTACTTCAAATAAATACAAGCTTTTGGGTTTTATTCAGGAAGGATTTGTTGTTTTGTTTCTATTTTTCTTTTCCGTGATGTACTGACCTGTTTTTCGTCTTGAAAACCTACTATTCTCGAGCATAGTTTTGCTGTTTTTCCGTGGCAAAACACGTGAGAATCACCCTCCTCTCCAGCGTTTGGTAACTGACTCAAATCAAAGCGAGGCGGAACGTTTGCGACAGAAAACTTTTTCATTTTTTGTAATTACCTGACAAAACCTTGTCTTAATCTCGGTTTGTAAAAGCTTTTTTCTCGTAAGAGCTGAAGTACGATTTTCCACAATATTACAGAGACTAGATCGAGTCCTATTAGTACTTGCAGTTGGATCTGCGGGTCCTAGATTTCCGTGCGAAGACTGTGAATAGTTTTCTGTTTTCATAAACACTTTAACATCTAACATGCATATTCATTTCCCGATAAACAAGAAAAAAAGTCTGCCGAACTAAAAACAGACGTCTGCTCCTAAAGAAATTATTTCACGGTCGCCTGTGAAATAGCCTCGAGGTTATAATTTCAAAAAATTAGTTCACCCGCAATTGAAGAAACATAAAAGAGAAATATAATTGCGTCAGGACCAAGCTGGAAGAATAAAAACAAAGAAGACCACACAATAGAGTTGCAATTAACAGTTTCCGTCAAATAAGAGTTGTTTTGAACAGTCAACTATTGTCTACTGGCACAACACAGTATTTTCTACCCTGGGGGCTTTTAGCTATGCAAAATTTACGGTAACAAACAGCTTACTATTTAAAAGCTTTTGTACTCCTGAAGCGCAGCTGATTGCTCAAACCGACTAATTGACTTCAAAGTAGAAAACAGATTTGCTTTTTTTTCCGTAAACGTTTTTAATGTAGAAAAGCTTGTGATCTACAATGCAAAGATATCTGGTGGGGTGGAAGCCAGAAGCAGTTCAACAAAGAACAAAAACACTTTAAAAAAGGCAAGTTTTGTCTGATATGCTTTACGAAGTCTGGTGAACGCACTGCGATGCGTAGGATTCAAGCTAAGAGGGACTGGTGCATAATTTCTCCTTACAGTGCCACAACTGAATCAAAGTCAAAAGTAATGAGAATTAGGCAAGTGATCACCAATTTCAGAAACTCTTGATTGTTAAACAAATTCTTCTTGTCAGAACCTTGGGAAATGTTTAGCTAACAGTATGGAGAATATACATATTGATGTTAGGTTGTAAAGGGTTAACATTTGAAGATGTGTCTGATCCGCCAACCCTTTTACTCACAAGATCTCATTATTAATTCTCCTTACTGTGTGCCACAAAATTCTTATGAAGTTAGTACGGAGAATTGGGTATTTTTTCAACTAATAATTTCTTAATTGATACTTTTCTTTATTCTCATCGCTTGTCTGTTTGATATTGTATTGATATTGTATTGATGTTGTATTGATGTTGTATTGATATTGTATTGATATTGTATTGATATTGTATTGATATTGTATTGATATTGTATTGATATTGTATTGATATTGTATTGATATTGTCAGGAGAAGTTCTGTCTTGGTCACTCATAGGAGTTAAAGGGTTTAGTACACAGAAAATGGGTACGATGAATTTCATTGTTTGACATGCTGTGTAAGATAACGTCAGATCGCTTGATCTTGCAGCTAAAATAATTGGGTGACTGGTTTAAAGGAGCTGCGTATTATTGAGATCAGAAGCCAATCACTTTGTTTTTAGCAAATTTAAAAGATCACGACACAGGGGCGTTGTAAGTGTTTATAAGGAGGTACGCCGGGAGTAGGGCTGGTAAACATTTCTGTGCACCTTACGTGAATTAGCTTATACCGTTGCTCTTTTTTCGCGTATAGCGGGCTCGGTAAAGAAGGGAAGGCCTTTAGAAGGGATTATCTGGCGCTGGGAAAGATTTACACTATGCATGTAAAGATTCCTCGTAATCGCGCGTTTTCGTAAATCTGAATTGTAAGATTTTTAGGTGATACACTTAAAAGAGAATTATCTGAGAAAAGACAGGGGGAGGGAAGGAGGGCAAAGCACCTCCCCCACTCCCCTAAATGAATTAAGCCATATTTTGACTTGAGGATGATAACAAGTACCAGGACTCCTTACCACAGGCATCTCAAGCTCGATAAGAGGTAATAGAATTTTGAGGCTTTCTTACATGATACATATTTTGTCTTCCAAAGTCCGCTGACATCAATCAAACTCGATCACAAGCAACGACAAAATGTCGCAAAATCGTATCAATTTGTAACCGAATTTTTCAATATATGGTATGATTTTGGTAATTGAACTTCGGCCGGTAGTATCTACTTTCTTCGAGAATAGAGAGTTTTAGATCCGAGTTTACCTCGAACCTCTAACCTCTGGAGGTCACGTGACAAGCCCTTCACGTCACGTTTGAGGTTTACGACGTGAGTTTTCAACGTGGAGAGGTAGGTTTTCACGTATGTCATTTACCTGAAAGCTTTTAGCGTATAATTCTTGTTTTATCCCACGTAACGATACGAAAATCTTGTGGAGCAAGTCTTAATTCATTAACAGAGGCACAAATTCGGGCGAAATGCTAACTTTGGTAAATGCTATTGAATCTTGAAAACAAGTGCCATTCATTGCTGCTAATTCAAAATGGCGGCCGTAAATTTGCAAGAAGAACTATGTAAGAATTTACAGCTCTTTACTGCTAAATAACCCAGTGTTACCGTAAATTTCTTTTGTTTTCACTGATTGATATTTCTTCTATTTCTACATGGAAAAATAAATTTAGAATGGCTCCATTTCGTTGGCCAGAGGCTCGACACGAGCTGGCACTTGCCAAGGAAGTAGCTCAACACAACCCCGAGAAACCTGATGAGTGGGAAGCAGTAGCTAGGAGACTCGGCAAAGCATTTTCTACGGATTCATGTACCGTTGAGCTTAAGGGAAGAGACTGCCGTGAAAAAATGGATCGGATTTTAACCAAATACAAAGAAGAAGACATGAAAGCTTTAAAGAGGTAAGTTTGCTGTTGGTTGGCTTGTTTATACTCACAACTGAGCAAAACGTTCAACCCTTCGTTTTCATTAGTCACAATTACAAATGTACGAAAAGTCCATATGTTTGTTTCTCGTATTGCTTTCCTTTTCAATAATGTGGCTCTTCTAATGGTCAAATGTACAATCTGTCACGAAAATAAATTTTCATCCAAAACATGATTTATGGCCTTCAGATTTGCTTAAGCTTATAATTTGATACTGTGTAATGGAGTATAAAACCAAACTGAAATTTTGACTCTGGCCTATACTATTCACGCTATTATTTAACTTGATTCAGGGCAAATCCAATCCTTTATTATCATAAATTTTACAATTTACAATTTTTACAATTTTCCTGATTAGTTCCTGCCTCCTCATTTAGGTTTTATACAACACTGGCTTAGCATTTATGTCAAGATTTTTAATTCTCTCCTTTATTTTGGATTTGTGATACCTGGTTTGTAATGGGTTTACGGGGGTCTTGGATACAAGCACAGACGCAAGTGCGGGCATATCAAACAGCGATGTCAGAACAAGCTGATGAGTGCCAGAATTCAGTTAAGGTCCCACCACCAGCCACTTTCCATTAGATCACAATGAATAAATACTTAGCAACAAAACTTTATCAGACTTTGTAGCTGGATACTTTTTGGGAACAGCCAATGATCTACTTCAAAACATTCTGACTGCACTAATCAAACATACTACAACATGACTGTAGTGTTTTTATTATTTTTTATGATTTTGAAGATCAGGCACAGAGGAAGAATTCACTGAGTTACAGCAGTTATGTGAGGATATCTTAGTGTATAGAAGAGATATGATGGAGATGCGACAGATAGAAAAGGAATCAAGAAAGAAAAGGGAGCAGGAAGATAAAAGGAAAGGGGAGGAGATGCGGCAGGCAGCGGTAGAAAGACTAGCAAGTTAATATCCAATTCAATATTATTTTGTGCAAACAAGCGTAGGTTATAGTGATGATATCCATAAGGACTGTTTTTCTTTTGCTGTTTTACAGTCTTTACACAATTTTCTGACTGTTCCTGTTTTACTTGGTGGTTCATGATGTGTTGTGATTGAGCACCATATAATTTAAGTGCCAAATTTGTCACTTGACAGTTTGTAGTTTTAACCCAGTTTGAATAGAACCCATGAAATGCAGAATAACAAAATTGCTTTCATTTTAGAGCGCCGTAGTGATGCTAGCACATCAGGTGGTGCCACGTTGGATGTGTCTAGTAGTGGGTCAGATGAAGAAATTCCTTCAAAAGGTAACCTTTGTGAAATCTAGCAAACTATTATTCCAACTTCTCTGACTGATTGGTTGCCATAAATACAGTATATGAAATTGATTTTCTCTTTTTACTGGGGGCCATGAAAGGAAAGTAATGTGTGGTGTAATAAACAAAATGTTTGTTTGATGAAATCCATATATATAATATATATATATTTTTATTTAAGCATATTTGAGAGTCTGCCTCAAGAGCTTGACTGCTCATCTATGGGACTCAATAGATCCATAATTTTAATGTGGTTGCTCAGTTTTCTGCCACACTGTGATTACATATTTCCATCTCCTTCCCCACTCCTGGGGGGAGAGGGGGGCTCGATGCTTTGGTTGTTCTTTTATATAAATAAATACAACACTTTTTCTTTTCTTTCTTTTGTAATTTATTTCTGCAGGAACTAAAAAGAAAGTTGCCAGGTCAAGCAGAAAGTCAGCAATTGAAATGCTGTCAGAAAAGTACAAAGAGAAGGCAAAACTGAAAGACAAAGAGCTGGAAGTGAGAAAGATGGAGCTGGATCTTCAGAAACAAAAGTACGAAGATGAAGCTGAAGAAAGGAAGCTTTTGTTCTCCATGCTTCGAGAACAATTGAAAAAATAAATCATTTTGTCTTTAGTTGCTCTTGAAGCATAAGCTCTTACTTCTGCTTCATATTCATACTTCTGTTTTACTTTATTGACACCCTTTAAACATAATTTGTCTTCACTGGAGGAAAAGAAAATAAAACATTCATCTTCTCTTGTTTTATTTCACTCCTGTTGCTATTTACATAAATAAAATAATTATAGGTAGAAAGACCAAGTAAACATGGTCAGAGGTTGGATAGGTAGGTTTCCAGGGGTGGCGGCTCTAAACTAAAATAAGTGGTTGTCTGTGAGCCATATAAACAGGTGTGACAATTGATAAGAATACATGCAACTAAATAATATTTACCCACTGGCTGTAAAAGGATCTTTAAGTTCTTTTTAAAGTCTAAATATGCAAAATTTTGGCAGATTTTACCAAAACCCCATTCCACACTTGTCCGAACTCTGCTCATTCTCGTATTAAATTCCTGCTCATCATCTGTAAGGTGTGCTTGACGGAATGGAGCAATAATGTTCTGTGTAATGCCATAGGCAGGATCCCCATAAATGACATATGGCTCTCCATTGGGTTGAACAAATCGACGCAGTTTAGCTGACAGGCCACTCACCCCAAGCATGAAGGCATCATGTCGGCGACCCTCTATAGGACCAAACATATGGGCTATCATGCCATTTGGGGCTTGAACAGACTAAAGAGTAAATGAAACAAATAATTGTAAATGAAGTATAAAGTTGTATGACAACATCCTATATATCTTTCCTGACTGAAGTTATGTTCCTTTTGCTTGGCCTGAGGAACTTGGTTTGGAAGTAGTGTTATTTCAGATTTTAGCAAACAACCTTTATTGAATTAGATCTTATACCTTCCTTTGGTATCTAGCCTCCTTTACAGATCTTTAAAGAGTACAACAAGAGAAGCTCTTTATTTTATTCATTTCTTGCAGATTCACCTCACTAAATTACAAATACCAGGGTTGCCCCCACTAATGAAGATGTATAAACAGTATATACAAGTCTAAAAATAATGTGTTCTAATTATCCTTGATAAGGATAGTATTAGATGGGTTTCTTATGGTGAAAGGGAACCCAACTCCTTCTCCTGCATTACTTGCCTGGAGTGCCTTCACAGGAGACTCCTTTGCTGTAATATTTTTGTCAAGTCAAGGAAGTTTGCTTTCTTTCGTTTAACACCCTTACATACCTGGAATTTTAAGCAGTGTGTTCTCTTATGACCACTGAACATAATTCGTTGATTGCGGACAGGACGAGCTATTGGTCGGGGGGTCCCATCGATGAAACCCCAACACCCAGTAAGAGGAGCTCCTTTTTCGTGAACAGCCTCAGCAAAAGCTTCAGGATCAAGCCATACCAGGTCAAGACTATCTAAGAGGTGGTGGAATCTGTCATAGATATCATCCATAATCTGAAATCCATGGAAAGTAGTACAGCAGTGTGCTTGTGTTAGTTTGTTTTTTTTTCTTTTTTTTTATGAAGTGGGTTGTTTGGAACCACATGTGGGACAATCATTTTAATTACTCTAATTGCAAAGAGAGTGGGGAGCACGGTTGGTGCAGTCGTGAGAGCACTTGCCTTCCACCGATGTGGCCTGGGTTCAATTCCCAGACTCGGCGTCATAAGTGGGCTGAGTTTGTTGATTCTCCTTTCAGCTCCAAGAGGTTTTTCTCCGGGTACTCCACTTTTCCCCTCTCCCAAAAACCAACATTTGATTTGATTTGATTTGTAATTAGGGATTTGATAATTAGATTTGTAATTTGAATAATTATTGTGATGTGCAGATGAAAATTATCATATTGATATCTGTGCAACATAAGTGAATAAATATTATCATTATAACTAAAGAGTTATTCCAGTGAATAGGATGAGTTAAATTTTTCCCTCAACTTGACTTCGTAGTCTAAAACAAACAAAACTGAAGCAAGCAACACAAAATGTACTGCAAGACTCTCTTCACCACTAGTCAAATTCAAGAATGGTAAAATGAAAGGGGAATACAGGCAACTTCTACAGGGAAGACGAATGGACAGAGCAACAATTTTACCTTGTTAAATATCAAGCTCAGTTCTGATACTGTTCGCCCGAAAACAGGCACCAGATCACTCCATCGATTAGGATACGCCAATCTTCTTAAAAGAATCATCAGTGCCTCCATCCCAGTAGCAATAGTCCCTTGACTGCAAATGTAATTGGCTGGCAGTTGTAACGCGTCCCGGAGTCTTTCCATATCTCCTTTTGGAAATCTGAGATTGAGGGTGAGGATTTATATATTTATATATATATATTTATATACAACTAGCTGAAGTCGAGATTACAAGCATAAAACTTGGCCGTTCAAGAAAAGACAAAAGGCAAAGAATTTGTACCTAAACATGGCCTCACACTGAATATCAGGTATATCCTGGAGATTAATACGGGGGTAGTTTGCATCGTTTTGTTGTGGAAACATGAATTCCAGCAACAGTTCATCCAAGTCGTCTTCACTGCTTCTTGAGTCATCACTGCTGTCTTGCCACAGCATCACATCTACGATACCATCAAAGTTTTTCCTGGTGGACACAATTTTTAATGCCAACACTTTGTTTACCAATGCATAAAACTTAGTAATAAAATCACATTTGTCGAAAAATGTTCAAAGTTCTGAAAAACAAATAGAAACTAACCTTGCAGCTGCCGCCATTTTGGATGATATTACCCAGAATCCACCTCTTTAATCCACCGCCAATCTAAATCGAATTATGTTTGAACGTCGAACCGCAAACGGGTAACCGCAAACCGGGGTTAGAGGTTCGCGGTAAACTCGGATCTAAAACTCTCTAATGAGTAGGAATCTTCTTCGTGGCATAAACAAGCTAACTCAACTTCACCACTACAAGCCCCCAAAATGGGCCTCCAAGCTGAAAAATATTCCACGATACTACGTTAAGGTAAGGTAATATGAAAAAAGCTTTACTCAGAGCTCTCAAGTTTGACATCTGGTAAAGGGTGAAATATTCGACCACATATCCATCGAGTGTAATACCGCGCTCGGCCATCACCCATCGGGGGTGGGGGGTAAAAAAATGTAAAAAATGTATCTAAGACGTACACCCTCTTATTCTTGCTCTGAGCATTTATGAACAGAGACCACTGTACTGGTCTGCATTCAGCATGTGACTGACTAACTTCTCACCAATAGAACAAAAGGAAAGTAATATCAAGTTTATTATCTAAAACCTCTGGTACTTGGATCTTAAACATTTTTGTAGGCTATGGAAAAATTTATGTTAACAAGGAAAGATCTATTGTAGGTCGGAATATACATAATTAATGTGTTCTCTTTTAAGTGGTTCTGATGGAACTTAAAGTATTTTTGTTTTGTAGCTTGCTCAGCATGATACTCCAACACATCAGTGGAATCTTCCCACTCTCCCAAAAGAGTTTTCATTATTTATTAAAAGGGATGACATGACAGGAAGCACTCTGTCTGGAAATAAGGTACACAGCTTGGAATTCAGTTCTTGATCAACATTTTTAATTAATAAATGTTAAGATGTGGCATTAACTTCATCAACAATAAGTGAGCTTAGTACGATGAGGTTGGTGCAGCCACAGGAGATCCAGCAAGAGGTTGCACAATTTATTTGGAATGCCTGTAGTTTAAAGAAGTACTCTTTTTTAAGTTCAGTAGGAAAACAAGACAACAGTTTGTTTGGCATCCACTGACTGTGCTAGTCAGTGGAAGATGACACATGCCATATTAATTTTATTCAAACACAGTGGGGTTTATTAAATTTTTCATGATTCGAGTTTGGCATTTATTCTAGGGTGGTGTTTATTCTACAGCGACATTTATACAAGGGCAGTGTTTATTAATTATCCAATTTGTTTCTTGCAAACAATAGTATGGTAACTGACCATTTTAATTTTAAAAAATAGAAAAATGTTTTAGTGCTTGTCTAAGAGTATTGTTTATATCATTCTAAAATTCCCAATTTTGCATCAGAACTGGTACATTCAAAAGGATGTGTCTGATTCACTCAAAATTTCCAACTGTGATTGAAGCATTGATCACATCATCATGCTGCATTAAATGCAAGGGTAGCATTCATTTGAATAAATAATAATTATGTTATTTACTAATTAAACTGCTCACACCAAAGAGAGAGGAAGCTCACAGTAGTTACATTTTTGCCAGCCTTTTTTGAGAGTACAGACATTTTTTTTAGTGACTGCTACTTTGGTTTTCAAGTTTTTATTCTCTCAAATTTAAGTCTTTACAGCTTATGATATTTTTTGTATAGCTGAGGGTCTCAATCAAGAGACAGCTGAAGATGGTTCAACTTAGAATTTTGCATGTGAGCAATGAAAATCTGTGTATGAGCACTATTGTTTGAAAATATTGCAATGTGGAAGCTGATGTTATGCTAAAACAAATGCAAAAGAGAGTATAGCAGTTCTAATGCAAATGACAATAATATAATTTAACTTTGCAATCATCTGAGTAAAATGACCATAATTATATGGAAATGCGTAGCTTCAATTGTGTCTGTACCTGTGGTCAAAGTCATCTCATATCTTTTTCTTACTAACCCTTTGAGTGACTGGTGTCTAATTTCTTCTTACAAATCATGCCTTGATCACATATTAAGGTTATGGGAATAAAGAAAATGATCACCCACTTAAGAAGCTCTTGATTGTTAGACAAATTCTCCTTGCCAGCACCTTAGGAAATGTATACAGAACAGTATGGAGAATATGTAAACTGATTTGAGTGTGTAAAGGGTTAAGTGCATCCTCAACTGCTGAGTTAAACCTTAAATTGTGCTTGTCTCATTTGACTATGGCAATGCTGTTTTAGGTTTGTAAGCTGGAGTTTTTGTTGGCTGATGCAGTCTGGATAAGAAGTGTGACACAATATTTACATGTGTTGGAATCCAGTCCAATCATTGCAGAAGCACTGCAGTTGCTGCGAGACAACTTGGTTTGGATTGTTACCTGTTCTTAAGAAGTCCTGAACAGGCAGGTATTTAATTTACTTTAAACTTTTAAGAAAGAACTGATGCAGAAGATTTTAAGCTGCTTGAGTCATGATCAAAGATCTGTTACCCCTAAGCACATGTTATTGGCAATCAGACAAAGAGTGATGCCAATGTGATCTATCACTAACGATAACTTAACAAACACACAACAACATGTAATCTCAGAAATTTTTCTTTTACCACGCTCACAACAAGATGAAAAGCATCTTTCTATATTTCTTTGCCAAGCTCAAAACTTACAATCTTTGTTTTTTTTTATTTGCAAAGATGGAATCTGTTTGTGAAATAGAAGCTCCTCACATTGCATTGAATAGTGGACTCATACGAAGATGAGATGAATTCATTTGTAATGGAGTTAAATCTTTCCTTCGGGTTCCCTATTTTAAAGTGATTCCAAATTTCTTGTTGGCCAGGAGGTTATATAACCCACACAGGAGACCAATAGATTCTGTTCTGTCATATGACTTTGGGGAAATGCCAAGAAAACTCAAGAGATTTGTTATTATAATTATTATACAGTGAGTAAAGAAGGCAGCAGATATTGGAGAATTCTTGAACTAAGTTTTGATGGGCTAAGTTATTTTTGACCTAGTTCCTTCCTGGTGACTTTGTCTGCTTTTTCTTCAGGAAGGAACAGGGCTCATCAGCTTATCTGATTGAAGTTAGAGGCTCCTCTTACATGGAGATGTTTGGTTACTTAACAACATTTCAAGAAATGATAGATCAGGTAAAATTACAAGCTTTTTCTGTATTGTGTGCTCATTTTGTGCATTTTTGGTCAAGAAGTCATGAATGCAGTTAAACACTGATCATACAAAGGCCTGTTTGTTAAAAGATTTTTTTCTGAATATCTTTCAAAATGTTGGCTTTGTTTGTTTCAGAATGTGCTGGAGAATTTTTATGACATTGTTGTTACAGTTGGCAGTGGTGGAAGTGCATCAGGAATTGCCATTGGTAACTATTTAACAGGATCAAAACTCAAGTATGCTCTAAATAGAAATATTGATATTTTTTTATTGACTGTATGGGAGGGTTGGACAAGAAAATATTTGTCTCAAGGTCATAACATATAGACCTCTCTCTGACCAATCTGTTCATTATGCCCAGAGGCCAAATTTTTCCCAATCTTGCCTGTCTTCACTTAGTCATTAGGGATTTTATCATTTGACCAGCACTCTTTGTCTTCTTTCTTTTTGCTGTTTGCATCTCAGGAGGCCATATATAGAGCTCTGTAGTTATTTATGGCACCACTGTCACTATAAAAAATTGCTTTTCTTCATCTAAAGGATTTGATCTTTACAATGTTTTTTTCATTGAATTTACACCCAGGGATTAACTGGTCTTAGGATAAATAATAATGATAATAATAATAATAATAATAATAATAAAAATAGGACTGAGTGGAATTCAATTCAGTCTGTAATCTTACGAGTGATTAATATAATTAGATGACTCTGAAGTGGGAGTCCGATATGTTAATGTTAACACAAAATCCTGTTACCAATTAATCAAAATTATGACAAAATTTAAGAAAGAAACCAGATGTATTGGTTATGTGTTTTTGTAACAGGGTGTGCACATGACACATGCTGTCCACTCATAGGCATGACATGTCAACTGTCCTGTTACACTGTTCAGTAAGAGGCATGACATATGCAGTGTCCTATTAGTGCTTAAATTGGGCTGGTGATAACTAATCACATTGGAGTTTTTTGTTATAGTTGCCACTGAAATGCTGTATCACCTTTCAGGAACCCCTGACAAACTATATCATGCTGCGGAACATTATGAAAAAGCTTACCAACCTATAGGCTGATAAAAAATTTCTGCAACTACCTAAGCTATACATGCGAAAGATTTAAGCCAAAGAGATTGTGCTTCATGAGAATTTATCACAGGCCTTTCTATCTTTCTAAAAGTTTCCCCTTGTTTTCTTTGAACACTGGAGACTAATTGAGACCTGTAATAGTAACATTATTGTCATTTATTCATAGATGTCATGCAGTGAATGTGTGTGATGATGCACCATATTTTTACCAGAAAATCAATGAAGACCTTCAAATAGGTGGGCTAAATGTTCTAGCAGAAGAAATAATTGATATTATTGATGGATACAAGGGAAAGGGCTATGGCAAATCCACTGAAGAAGAGTTAGTTTGCAGATTTTGGTTTCTTCATAATAGGACTAGTAGTCAAGCAGTCCCTCCTTTTTCAGAGAAGTCTGTTGGGCAAAAAGAAAAAAAAACAGTGAAAAAGGTTGTCGTAAGCTCCTAGCAGTGCACTTACATTTTTTCACTGATTTTTTTTTTTTTGAGTCATGCAACTTTCATAGATTTTGCCCAAAAGGATAGATTTCTTGTAGTCTTCTACATATGTTACATGATAAGCTGCTTATTTTGGTACTGGAATGAAATGCAAGTTGAAGAGAGTTGTTTCTATCTATCAGTAAACAACCTTTTCAAAACATGAAAACATAAGAAATCATGTCGCGTTTAAATTATGCCTAGTTTCCAAGCCCCTCGTCCGTGTAGTGTTCTCAAACTCTTGCAAAATCAGAGAGAAGATTCTTCTTTTGCAAATTGTTTCCAAAAATGTATGATGAATCAGTTATTGAATTTGGTTTTTAGCATGATATTGTAAATTATTAAACCTGGCATCTGTGTTATCTGCCTCGGCCTTCGGCTTCGGCGGATAACTCAGACCCCGACATTGATAATTTATGATATTATGCTCAACCTCATTAAATAATTGCTCATTATTATTCAATTGCACTTAGTAGAGTACAAACAACGTGCGAATTGAGTGAAAATTTCCTGTGATATTGTACATTTGGTTATTTTGTAATGTAAAAAAACTTGTTTAATCGGCTGGCTGCGCGTGCTGCACTTCTCTACCTGCGTCTCTTTTCCCACTTTTTGAAAAATGGCCATGAAATAAAGCAGTTGAGCAATAAATAACTTATTAGACGTTTTGGTGTGTGGTATCGCTGGGTATATTTACTCATAGTTTGTATTTTGTCTCGCCTTGCGGGATCGTCAAAATATGCCACGACTGGTAAAAATAGTTACCGAAAGTACACACCAAAACTTCTGATAACATATATCTTTTGATGGAAGACTGAATACGACAACATCCGCAGGTGATAAACGTTCATATATCGCTTAGAGGATGGTATTATCACTCCTTCGAAAATGGCGAGACCTGATTTGTAACATTTTTATATAATGCGAGTTTCGCACACGTCTGATAGGGTGTGTCTTATTTTCCAACAGGAGGTGTGTTCGGTTTGTATGATGGAAGAATGGACCCGTTAGTAACTCGCCCTGCACTGGGTATAAATGATGTTGTCTGCTGGGAAAGTGCGAATGATCCCATGCCATTCTGAGGCTGACTGGTTCGCAGTTGTCTCTCTTATTTGAGATATTTAGGTAGTGCTCGAGAGGTCCACGTGTAAAAAGATTTTTCTTCGTTTCTCATCGTTCCCTTTGTTAATGTAGTGCTAATCTCTCGCGAAACCCTCGGCCGCGCAAGAAAGACTGGAGCTGGTAAATTTTAAGATGGTAAGCAAAAAAGGTCAGTCAAGACATGACTACGTTCTTTTTTGGCGTCATCCAGCAAAATTGGCCACGAAAGAGGAGATAACAGCATTGAATGGACTCCTCCAACCATCAGAGGGAAAAAGCCTTTGATCAAGTTCTCGTGAGTTTACATATCCAAGACGAACACAACAAATTATTGGACTGGAAAAAAATGTTTAAGCCTTTGAAAATATATTCGTGTAAAACTATAAAGATTTAAAATTTTGAATTTTTTATTTGATTTATAACATATCTTTGATTTTAGACTAATAAAAGGTCACTTTATATCCGCTTGTCAGTATAACAAGTTCTATTTTTTGGATCAAATTTGACAAGCAAATTTTGGTGAGTTTTGCAATTGCTTGGGGCAATATTTGGATTCCAAGTTTTGTTTTCTGTCCAACGAGGATTTCGACAAAATTGATATCTCTGAATCAAAGGGCAATCAGATGGGCATTGGGTACGTTCGAAGAAAAGTTTCCCGTTGATTGGATCCATAATGCCGAAGACCTTTTTTACAGTTCCGTGGCTCTGTGTCAATTAAATTGTGAACAATTCACCTTCATAAACTTTGCTCGCCTCGTGTTGATTGCGTTCGCAGTGTTTTACGTGAACATCGTCGGTGCAATGAGGCTAAGGACCGCTTTCATGCAGGTTGAAAGCTGACTTCTTTGAATAAATGTATATCTCCAACCTTAAGTTTATCATCTTTCGATGACCAGCGAGGATTGTGTAATCGTAATAATGGCTTCGCCAATTTATACCGGTCAAGATCCCAACCGATGTAGCAAAAACCATCGTTTATTCGTGCCTTCGCAATAATCAGCAATTTCAGGAAAACCTTGCGCAAACCGCTTGAATCCATTATTTAGAGATTTTAATCCCTACAATGCACCGACACTTTCGACCGATCTGTTACATAGGAAGGCTTTTGATTTGCTGATTCGTTTCTTCCAAACGGTCTCTCACGTGAATCCGTCCATAATTTTTGTTAGGGAGGATCTCACAGAACTTCATCCCGAAAAGAATGCTTTATTTGCTTTTCACTTCGTTTCAGTCCGCTTTTACACGCATGGATTCTGAATTCTGGCGTGTTAAAAACCAGAATGAAATTTCTCAACCTCCCGGAGAACAACTCGCTCGGAGTGATTTGCAAAACAAATAGTAGCTTGTTCAAGTTCGCAGAAAAACATCAGCTGTGAATTTTCTAGAAAATTCTTTCGAAGTGTTGTGAATCTTTTATCATGGTAATTACTTACATGCGTGACTTGTGTATTCGACATGAACTGATTCACGGTACGTTGTTGTCTGAGAGCATTTCCACCTTGCGATTATACTTTGGTACACAGTGGCTCTGGTAGATGAAAGGTGAGAAATTTTTTTTAATA